GCATCTGTCACCGAGGCCACAAAAATGTGAGGGAGAGAGTTTCACCTGCATAGCCCTGCCCATGGGCGCTTCCTCCAAGCTCCCCTGTGCCATCATCTTTGGCAGGGACTGGCCTTTAGGGAGAGACTAGCCCAGAGGCGCACCTCCGGGCCAGGACTGACCTGAGGTGACAGGTAACAGGGACAAGAGTCGCCAAAGCCATCAGAAAGGCTCCACCTTTGCACTTGTTCACAGCAGATTTTAACGACAGCAAATTTCAAAGACATTGACAAGACCAAGGCCAGAGGCTCTGTCTCTGTGGGCACGCTTGCCACAGACATCATCCCACTCACTGCTCACGAGTTTGTGAAATATTCAGACCCCCATTCTGCAGATGAAGCTCGTTTTATTTGGTTTGGTTTGGTGTGGTTTTGCCCTTTCAGAAGAAGACAACTGAATTCAACCCACGGTTGAATCCAGCAAGACAAGCTATCAAAAGGCAAAACCAGTGCTGGGACTCCCGTCTTCCGATCCCAAAACCTGCCCCAGCACCCTGTCTCCTGGTACCAGTGGGGAAAGTGCTTACATCAGCAGGCAACATGGTTGCTGGACGGCCAAACAAAATTAGGTGCAGTAAGGACCCAAAGGGGAGCAAACACACGCTGTTTGCATTTTCTTCAGGAAGGCTAGAAAAGCAAAAGCAAGTGGAAGGACCCAGGAGAAAACAGAAAAGTGACAGCTGATTCCAGGCTGACAAAAGCAGAAAAACATAGGAAGATGAGGCACAATGAAAATAGGAACAGAGCTCTGGGGTGGAGGAGCCTACTCTGTCCCCAGGGCTTTGTTTAGCAGCAGATGGAGAAAGGAGAAATTCGTACAGCCTCCTGGAGAGTCAGGAAAAGAGAAAAAAACAAAGAACAAGCAACATACAAGAGAGGGAACTTTTGAACAACCTAAGAAAGCTCTGAGTGTGGGGATGGGACTGCAGGGGGTTGGGGATGAGAAAGTGGGGGGGTCCTAACTGGGGGGGAGGGGGGCTTCTCCTGGAGGGGCCTACGGGAGGGTTGAGTGGCCTAGGCAGAGGCTTCATAGTGAAGACCAGCGCCACCCCACCACTGTGGTTCAAAGCTCAGTCCTAGGGGAAGGTGCCTCGTTAGGAAAACACTTGAGGTTAAATGATGGTCATGGGACTACATGACAAGACAGGATAATGACCAGAAAGCTGAGAGTTCGGGACTTGGCTCCCCAAACCAGGCCAACGTGCTGGAAAGACCTGCAGAGTTAGGGGAACCTGACAAGTGTTGCAGGTGAGGAACTCCTGAAGGGTTCTCCCAAAACCAAGGGCGCCTGAGCTTCTTGGAAGCATATGAAGGGTTTTCCAGTACGTCTCACAGCGTTCAGTCCTCTTGGCTTAAGTAAGTACTGAATTAAAAATGATCCAGACGGGTGAAATGACATATGTCTGGGATTTGCCTTAAAAGTCTCCAGCAAACCAGAAAGCTGGGAGAAGGGACAGAAGAAACAGGAGGAGGAAAAAGTCCCACGGATTGAAGCTGGGCGGGCGAGGTAAGGGAATTTATACCAGCGGACCTCACGGTGCCCTTTCCGGGCCGGCCGCATCACCGGGGGCCTCTCACACGTTGCCAGTTCGCAGGCTGGAGCAGGAGACCCCAGATTACTAAATAAAAAACTCTGGGAGTGAGGCGCAGCATCCTGTGTTTTAACAGGCCCTCCCGAGGATTCCGCTCTGTGATTCGGATGCTTGCTCAAATTTGAGACTCACTGCATTAAACCATTTTTCTCTCCTTCAGTGTTTGTGCGATTTCCATAATAAAGGTTTTTTTAAAAAAAAAATCCCTGTGGGCATTTTTGTTGTTGAGTTGTTTATTTCTTACATCACTTGTCTTCAATTGCTATTTAACCATTGTTTTGATCTTTTCCTGGAGCCAGAACAAAAAGCCAGGAAGCAGATGCGACTGCGACTCTCTCTCTCTCTCCCGCCGCAGTCCGCAAACGAAAACTTCCCGTACAAGACGCCCAGCGGCGGGCCCAGCACTGGCACCTGCCCGACGGCGTCAGCACAGCGGCCCGGGAGCAGGCCCCGCGCGCCGTGCAGGGCGCACCTCGGCGAGGCCTTCCCCGCGTCTCCACGCCGTGCGCTCTGCGCCAGCCGACCGCCGAGGGTCCCAGCCCCGACGGCACGGCCACCCGACGATCCGGCTCGCGAGGCACGTCCCCCCAGAGACGGCATCTCGCAAGACATGGGTCCCCTTGACCTTTTCCGTCCTCCCTTTCAGAGGCTCTTTAGAAAGCCGCCCCGGAAGGGAGGGAGGCGAGCCGGAGGCCGGGTCGCGGGGAGGCCCCGTCCAGCAGCGTCGCCTCCCCCTCGCCGTTGGGGCCCGTGGGTGCGAGCGCGAGGCTCGGGAGGCCTGGGCGGCCGCGGGAGGGGAAGGGTTAAGAAGCCCGGGGCCCCTCCCCCTTCCCCGCGCGCGGGTCTTCCCCCACCCCAACCACCACCACCCCCGCCCCTCCCCGCCAGTGCTGTAAAACAATCCCTTTGTTTCCTCTTTAAGACGTTAGCCTCAGGGGCCATTATAGGAAAGAAAGGTAGCCAGGCTCTTTTATCTGCAAGAATCCATTAAGCGTGGCCTCGGTGCTGCGGCCGCTCGATTATGGGCTGCCTCACGAGGGGACCCTGGGGGACCCCTCCCAAGCACGGACCCAGACGCACCTGTACCCCATCTCACCACCCGCCCCTAGGGAACTGGAATTTGGGGGATGGGGGAGGAATGGAGAGTAAGGAGCCCCCGTCCAAACGAGAGTTAGAAGGGCGTCGTGGAGCTACGCCTTTTGGGGGGGGGGGTGTCTCCAAAGTACCCAGTTTCTCATCTTCCTGCACCCCCAGCAGGGAGAAATAAACTTCCGACTGCTCGATGGGAAATGACCCTGGCCTCGCCCTCCGCTACTGTCCACGCGGGGCCGCGCACATTTCCCCCGGCGGTCTCGGAGCGGCCCAGGGAACCGGACGCGGGAGGCGACGCGCGCAGCTGCACCTCTGGGGCGCGGGACGCATTGCACGTGGGTCTGTCTGTCCGCGCGTCTGTCCACCCCGAGCTGCGCGGGGACGCGTCCGCCTGCGGCGCAGCGCGACCCGCGCCCAGACAGCAGATGGTCCCTCCCGCGCGCGCTGGGCTGTGGCCCTGCGGGACGGCGCGAGTTTTTCCACTGGGGACTGGAAGAGGACCCTTTACCTTTCTTAGGAAGCTGTGACGCAAAATGCCGGCCGGAAAGCACCGGAGAAGGCCCTAGAGGTTTCATGTGGCTCATCATAAAGTAATCTAGCACCGATTAATTATTTATAACCCCTCCCCCCTCCCCCCCCCCCCCCCGAGAAGCAGTTGCCCCAAACGCCCACTTTGCCTGTGCGCTCGGCTACCCCGTCTGCAATCAAAACAAGGGAAGAAAGGCCGACGGGCCCAAGGCACCAGCGCCCAGAGAGCGGCTTTGAATTCTGGCCTTGGGGGGGTGCAGAGGCAGAGGGAGGAAAGGCAGCGGCGGGAGCCGGGCAGGGCCCTGGGAAGGTCCAGTGTGATACTTTCCGGGAGCTTAGGGGGAGGGATATTCCCTTTTTGAAACTGCCAACAATTCAGATTGTTCAGAGAGCACAGGTGGTGGGAATGCCACAAAACAAAACAGAACTCTTTAAATTCTCTGTTGTATCCAGGCCAAAGATAGAATATCAAGTCTGCGGGTCTCCCGCTTGAAATCTCTGTGGAATGACCTTCTTTGGATCTTCTCCTGCTCTTTCCCCATGAATATAAATATTTTCTCCACTTACCATATGTTACCCACGCACTTCCACAGACCCCACCGCCACTGCCCTGCTGGGCTGTTTGCAAAAGGAAAGTCTGTCCTCCTCTCAACCCAGAGGGCAGCGGGAGGAGGGAGCAGTGTTGTTTAAGGGACAATGTCACTTTCCTCTTCGTCAAGATTCTTTGTCAATTGCTGGGGAAATAATTGACCTCAAGCTACTTCAGTCACAACCAATAGAAAAATAGAATGGTGATGTGTCCAGCTGGTAAGGGAAGGCAGGCACGCAGGCTGGGAAACAAAGGTGCCAGGGAATAGAGCTGACATGAAAAATATGTAAAGCTTCATGTTGGAATTCTTGGGAAACAGAGGAATTTCACTTAAAAATAGAGCAAACAAACAAAAACTAGTATTCTGTTCATTTGCCACACCTTCAAGTTTACGGTCCTTAATTTATGCCATTGGATGGCTTAAAAGGAAAATCCAGCACAGAAGCCCTTTAATGCAGCTGAATCTTTTCGGTTCTCTGACCCTTTCCTTAACCTACACAATGGTACTTTTTCCGCGCCGCCCCCCCCCCCCCCACATCCTCCACTCAATCAGCAGCCAGAATGACTCAGTTCTGTCTGATTCAGGGGCCCAGGGAAGGATTTCAGAGTTCAGTGAGTATTGTTTGCGGGTTTTTGTTTGTAAGCAGTGGGAGAAAGTGCAGGAGGGAAAGGGGGCACCAGGAGGAGTGAGAAGGGTCACCGGAGGGAAAGCTGAGAAGAAACTGAGCAATTGCTGATCTTGGGTTCCACGGGAGAAACGATGGTTTAAGAGTGGTTAAAACAGATCTCGTATTTCAGACCACAAGATGTCCCAGTTATGAAGCTGATCCTGTTCCAGGTTGGACCAGTCAGGAAAAAAAATCAATAAGAACATTTAATGCCACCAATGTGGTAAGGAGCAGGAACACTGTCAAATAGCATCTCAACCTAGGCCTCAAACATGAGCTCCTGAACGACGCGGTCTTACCAAGAGGACTTAGAACAAAATCCGGATGCTACAAAGAGCAGCCTGAAAGCTTCAGGGGTGCACTTTTGCTCCTCTCATGTGAGACTAAACTGGCACGGTGGGTGTGTGTTGATGCACAAGCCACCACAGAGAAAACTGAGGTCCCTGCCTCAGCACTGAAACACAAAGAGCGAGGCATAATGTCAATATGGCACAAACCCGTCATCAGAGCCCACACATGTATTTGTCAATAGCTTACATCTTCTCCAAGGACTTGCAAGGAATGGTGGGTACGTGAGCAAGTCATCTTGAAAAGAAGGCTCATCAGTGCCAGAAAGTGCATCACGGTAGATCTAAGGCTGATAACGCTCAGCGCAGACCTTCAGAGACAAAACATTCAGTGTCATGGTAGAAATGTCCCCCATGGCGTGATGCATCTTCTCAAGCAGAATTTTTGAAAGGTGTGTGCCTGCTCTAAGACAACCTCAGGTAAATAGGTTAATGGGGATTTTCCAAATCTCTCCAACCTCTCACAAGTGCTTTCCAGAATCTTCTCTGAGGTCCATTCAAATCTTAGCACACTTGCTAGCTACGCTTCACTTCTCTCCGATCTGCTAACCCCGACCAGCGGTGTGGTATTAATTTGAAGAGAGCCTACTGATGGAATTCTCCAGTTTCCTTCATTGTTTGAAGCTGCTGACCCCCGTTTCATCTGAAGTAAAGAGATTCTTTTTTCACGTACCATTCTTGAAAAGAACCGGATCTGGACTAGTTTTGTTCTAGATGGATCTAGAGCTTTCATTCTAGGATCCAACAATTGCTGAACACGCACATTCTAATTGTGCCTATTAAGCATCCCTCCCCCATGCAATTTCACCTAATGGTTCAAAGATGGAGCCTTTGAGTTGGCTGTCTAGTAATGGTAATGGATTTGCATTGAACTCTTCATGTTCTCCCTGGTGACCCCTGTCATTCATCTGCAAGGTGGGAAACCAAGATTGGGGTGAAGTCTGTGGCTACAGTAGTTAGTAAGGCTAATTGGCTCACGTGAGAATGAAACCTGTGGCTTGGCCTCATTAGCCCTGCATTAAATCTAACATACCAAAGTACATTTGAATGGACAATAACTCTTGCCCGGAATATATTTGTAATTTGGTAGAATTAAATAAGGTTCTAAGTGAACACTGCCCCATCTGCAAGATGTTCAGGACAAAACAGAGGAAATTAAGGGAAGATGCCAATTGATATTCTAGATTTATGAAAATTAAATGCTTTTAAAGTATATCGTTTTCCTTCTGCAAATAATTTATGTTTAAACATCTCAAAACACTGCATTTTATTGTGTGTAAATTATGATCCTATTTATGTAAACACAAAAAGCTGAGGAAAAAGCTGATAAGAAATAAATCATAGTTTATGTGTTGTTATTTAGATGGCATGATTATGAGCAAATGATTTTTCCTCATCTCAGTTTTCCTAAAACATTATAGAGTGGCTACAACTACTATTTAATGGAATGAAGATATATGATCATTCTAAAAACATTTGTTAATACTCATGTACCGGGGCACCTGGGTGGCTCAGATGGTTAAGCATCTGCCTTCGGCTCGGGTCATGATCCCAGGGTCCTGGGATCGAGCCCCACATCAGGCTCCTGGCTCAGCAGGGAGCCTGCTTCTCCTTCTCGCCCTGCTCATGCTCTCTCTCTCTCTCTCTCTCTGTGTCTCAAATGAATAAATAAAAAAATCTTTTAAAAAAATACTCATGCACAGTAATCACTATTAAAAAAAGTGACATGGGGGTGCCTGGGTGGTTCAGTCAGTTGAGCGTCTGCCTTCGGCTCGGGTCGTGATCCTCTGGTCCTGGGATCGAGCTCCATGTTGGGCTCCCTGCTCACTGGGGAGTCTGCTTCTCCCTCTCCCCACCCCCCACTCCTGCTCTCTCTCTCAAATAAGTAAATAAAAATCTTTTTAAAAATGTTTTTAAAAAGTGACGTAAGTACAATTCCTGTTTTCTGGGCAAACAGTGACTTGCACAAGAATTACAGAGAAGTAAAAGGAGGAAAGAAACAGTCAACCAGGGGCCCCTGGGTGGCTCAGTTGGTTAGGCGTCTGCCTTTGACTCAGGTCATGATCTCGGGGTCCTGGGATAAAGCCCCCCGTCGGGCTCCCTGCTCAGCAGGGAGTCTGCCTCTCATACTCCCTCGGTGCCCTCCCTCTCTCTCTCAAACAAATAAATAAAATCTTTAAAAAAAGGAACAGTCAACTGAGAGCGAGCATTTCACAGTGGTACCTCATGCAGTTTGCTCTCCTGGAGAAGTAGCCACTGACTTTACAGAGTTGGGGACCAAAGCTCTGAGAGGACAGTTACCTGCAAACTGCCCAATATCTTCCTGGTAAAGGAGACATTCAGACAGTTTTGTGTGTCCACGCCCTTTCTTCCTGCTACACAGAACACACAGAAGCACATTTAATCGGTTAGACAGGTAGATAAATGATGTATCAACATTGTGTCTCATCAGAAGTTCTGTATTCAACAGTACAGCCATCCTGACCATTCTCCTTACCCAGAATCACCCTCCCATATACATACACACACATGCACAACATACACATACACACGTGCGTGCACCCTCACAAACGCATACACATAAGCGGGCACACATACGTGCACACATGTACACACATACACACCCATACACATCCACACACACACACGTATACAGACACACACATTGCTGTCACTGCTTGGACCAAGGATGAGCACCTGACTCGGTCGCTATACCACTAACTTCTAAGTGCCAATCAGATACTCTCTTCTCAAGAATTCGAATAAAGAGATGTAGATATTGTGGTGAAGTCCCTAGTAAGCTTTTCAATGCAGCTGTGAAGACTTTTGGCAGGTGAGAGCAGGAGTCCACTCCAGAGAGGGCAGATATGGAGGTTGGAGGCCCCACGGATTAGCAGAGAAGACTGGTCTACACAGAGGGGAATGCAACATCAGGGAAGGTTCAAGTGGCAAGTGGCCATGTTGCCACGTGTAGGCCAGAAGAGCTATTCCCATCCTCAGAACTTCCCTGTGACCAACACATCGCATGAAGCTCTCTGTACCCTAACAATTCCACGTTTTAAGTTAGCTTGAGGGAATTTCTTTCCTTACAACCAAAAGATCTCAAGTTACAGCAGAAATAAACACACACCTTATCGGAATGATTTTCTCAAGTCTCTTCTGGCTTTCCCAGTGATGAGCAGTGTCGGCAAACTCACATCTACTTGCAAGTCTCTCAGGAACCTCCCACCTATAATGCACAAAAGCAAACTCATCCACTTCCCTTCCGCACTTCCCCAAGTATTCTCAAACTCAGCAGGGTCACTAATGCCTTCCCAGCGGTTCAAGTCAGAAATCTGGGGGCTATCCCTGACCTTCCCCTCTCTGGTGCCTCCTGTATCCAACCTATTACAAATCCTCCCAGATACTGCTCAAATCCGCCCATTTCTCTGACCCTCCTCTGCCCTGCCCCTGGATCCCTCAGAATCTGGCTCCTCTCCAACTCCATTCCAATGCTAAGCCTGATCCTTACACACACACACACCAGCATCAAAACCCCTCCCGTGGCTTTTGGCTTCCCTTAGCCTTTTAGGATAAAATAAAAACTCATGTACACCGTCTGCAATGCCTTGTGCATTGTACCCTCTCCAGTCTTGTCCCTCGGCATCCTGGCCATGCTCTGTCCAAGCCAAAACCCTTTCCATTCCTCAAAAATGTCACGCTTCTCTGCCCAAAGGACTTTTGTGTACCCTCCTCCCCTCCACGTGGAACTCTTCCTCTCCCCACTGACTCCTACTCTCCTCCTGTGTCTTAGCTTAGATTCCGTGGCCTCCACAAGGCCTCCTCTGATTCTGTAAGCTTAAGGTGAAGCATCCCTAAGATATGGTCCTGTGACCTTCTGTATCTGACTACCTGTAGCACATACTGACATTCAAGGTCATTGCCTGTTTGTATTATCTGCCTCCCCTGCTTGACCATGAACTCCAGGCAGGCATATTCCCAGTGTGGAGCCCACAGTACATGCTTGGGAAGCAGTGGAGGAATGAATGTATGAACGCCTCAAAGCGGTGCTCACGCTCAGGACAACACGTGGACATTTTCGTGAACCGGCTCTTCTGCTCATTTTGTCACAGCTTGCACTTTTTTAGGATCTGGTACAAGTCCCTGAAACAGAAGTTGGGAAATGGGGCCAGAGAACATTAGTAGTAATATTTACTGTTACCGCTATTAGAACACCTGACATTTCCCCTCCCTTTCTACATGAGGCCCATAGCTTATACTCCAGTTAATCTGACCACACTTTGACTCTCCACGCCCTCATGGTGAGTCCTTACCCAGGACTCTCTTGGGTCTTCATGCAAATCAATCTCAGAGGACTTTCCTGAAGTCCTTCCACCTAACATCAAACGTAAGTCAAGAAATCTCCACTACATATGGGCAGGAGCATCTCATTAAGATGGGGAAACCAAGTTCTGGGACACTGAGGCCAAGCTAAGACACCAGGCCCTTCTCTCTCTCCCACAGGCTGCCCATGGGGCCCAAGCAGCCCACTGCAGGACACATCACAGGGGAGAACTTGGAGCTTGGGGGGCAGGTCGAGCAGCGACTAGACCACCACAGTGCAAAGTGCTCAGCAACTAGATGTGTATGTATGATGGTCTTGGAAAGGAAATAATTACAAGAGGGACATGTTGTGAATGAAGATGCTTTGGACCCAAAGTGTCAGAAGGTGGAGGCAGAAGCTGAGAGGAAGGGTATTCAGGAGAGGATGGACCCAGCATGGCTCAGAGAATGGAGTCATACATTTGCAATCTAGGAGAGGGTCTCTGATTTCGAAGGAAGATGGTAATTTGCTTTTCAGACAGATTGGGTTTGTGATGGAATCTAAGAGGAAGTGAAAGTCATAAGACGTCAGCTGCAGAAAGGGATGACAATTTGGAGGTGACCTATGTGGAGGCGATGTTTGCAGGATGGACGAGGGAGATTCTACAACATGAGCCAAATACAGGGCCAACAAGAGCTCCCCCATTCAATCAAGAAGATCCGGGGAGACAGGGGGAAGAATCTCAAGGAGACGGAGAAAGCCAAGATGTGTGGCCATCCAGAACATAGTGTAAGGTTACAAGGGAGGAGACAGTAGGGAGTCAGTTTGCAATATTCAATGCTGATTGTATTATCTGAGATCTTATCGTCGGTTAGGCATGTTTCAAGGAACTCTTCATCAGTGATCCCATTTAATTCTTGTGGCAACTCCATGAGATGGGGGCTTATTTTACAAATGAGCTATCTGAGGCTCTATGAAATGGTACAACTTATCAAGGCCATATGGCCAGTAAGAGGCAGAGCTAAGATTCAAACCCCTTGTCTTGGAACCCATAGCTGAATCTTGGAAGATGAAGAGGAAAATTGAATGGGGGATATATCAGTTTTCTGTGGCTCTACGTAGCTTGACAAGACAAAACCAGTCTCTGTTCTGGATGAGAATAGCTGGAGGTTGAAAAAGATCAAAGCCTAAATGCTCCTCTGACTCAGTGAGTCAAGGACAGGGAGACAAATTGGTGAGGGAAGGAGCCCGGGGCCATGAGATTCAAGGGCCTGCTTCTCTTCAGCTGCTGCTTCTGCCTGGGCAAGAGCAAGGGAGGCTCCTCCAGAGCCTTCTCCCCGGCCTGACTGGAATCCCAGCCCCAGGGTCGCCATTCTGGGTGCTTTCCAAGAGCCCAGGAGCCAGCGAGAGCAGGCAGCGCCGAGATGGAGACCAGCTCACCCACTTCCTAGAGGCCTTGTGGCAAAAGTCCCTGCCAGCCCAGAAGAAGGTAGAGGCCCTGAGAGGAGTGGGATGTAGGGCAGACCAATCAACATCCAGACACCACCGGGGGTAGTGCTGGGGGCGGTGGGGAACACCAGCAAAGATGGGGTAGGGAACCAAAGGACCCAATCTGCCAGTGCTTGCCCTGGATGCTGGGACAGATCAGAGAGACCTAACAAGGGACGTCCTAGGCCTCCTCAAACTTGAAGCAGATCTAGGGGGCTGGATATTGGGCCCGTGGGAGAAAGGAGGGCCACTCCAGGCCTCAGGGGACTGCTTCTGGTGGGCACAAACCTCCCCTGAGGGGAAATGTCGGTCTCGCTAGACACGTCATGGGATCTCTCACCTCAAAGCTACGTCACCCAAGCCTGTCCTCACCAGTTGGCCAACTCAACAGGACGCACGCGGCTACACCTTCCCCTCCCCTACCTTGGACACGAGTTTATGCTCCACAATAGCTGTGTCCCCGCTTGCATTCAGTCAATATGGCTGGCTTTTAAGTCTAGGCAAAGAAGCCTCGCAGATAAAGGGGACAGCAACGGACCTCTCAGCTGCTTTGCTGCTTTGCTGCTTTGCATGTGGAAGTGAGTCAGGGCAGACGCTCGCTGCAGGCAGGCTGGAAGTGAGGACAGCACCTCCTGGAGTTGTGCAAATTGCCAACTCTGACAAGCATGGAAGAATGTGCAGGTGAAGGAACCCCAGGCCTCCTCTCCACCCTATTTCTTTGGCTGAAGCAACCCATCCCAGCCTCAGGCCTTCATGAGTCTCTCTCGGCTGTCTTCCTTTTGTTCCTAGATCTCAACTCACATGTCAACTCCTCAGAGAGGCGCTCTCTCTGTCCTGTTTTATTATTTTTAAAGCACTTATCCTTATCCAAAAGTTATTTTAAAGCTATGAGCTCTACCCACCACGCCCCACTCAAATATAAGCTCCATGAAAGCATGGCTTTGGAGTGTCTTGCTTCCTCTTGTGTCCTCCTCACCAAGCAAAGGACCTGGCTTTTACTGAGGCTTCTCAGTAAATGTGTGTCAAATGGAATCCATTTGAGGGGTGCCTAGATGGTGCAGTCAGCATCTGACTCTTGGTTTTGGCTCAGGTCGTGATCTTAGGGTCATGGGATCGAGCCCCATGTCGGGCTCCACGCTCAGCTGGGAACCTGCTTGAGACTCTGTCTCCCTCTGCCCCTCCCCACCGCTCTCTCTCTCTCTCTCTCAAATAACTAAATCTTGAAAAAAAAAAAGTGGAGGTGACCAAATATTTAAAATGATTTTATTATAAGCAATTAAAATTTAGTTACAAATCATTATTTCTGCACATCCCCCAAAACGATCGTCTGTTTTCTCCCTAATGGTTTGCCTCTTTCCTTTCATCCTGCCAGATACTACACTGGGAATGTTGGGAATACGCATCAACCCCCAATGGTTTCAGGGAACCTATGACTTTAAAAAGACGGTCATCACTGAAGATTGTATAAAACACGCTGTAAAAGGAAAATCTCCAAAGGAGATAAAGGGCATCAGGAGTAGGGCGTCTCCTTTTTATGAACAGTTCCTAGGTGTTGCCTGGCCAGCAGCTCCAACCCCCCCCACCCCCCACCCAGTAAAATAGGCCAGCAGGGAAAGCTGCCTGTGGCCTAGCTTAACCCTTCCCTGCTCCTCACCTCAATAAGATGCTGGGAAAGATCAGAAGAATTCAAGCACTACTTGCTGACTGGAAGAAAACAGCCAAAGGGGGGAAAAAAAGACTGATTCCAATGTCACTCCCCACCCCCAAGCTTTCTTCTCCCAAAGAGGCTTCTGTTCACAGAAATTAAAGGGCTCTGATAGCAGATCACAAATTCAGGACAGAAAAGCTTCACTATGCAGCTAGAGACCGTATTGTCGGGAACCCGACGTTGGACACTTTTTTTTGCTTATGAACTTTTGGAGACCATTCGAATAAAAGACTATTTGTTCCTGGACAAACACTCACCAGCAAAGAAGCCTTTAAGAGGAGGGGACATTTTTGTTTTGCATTTTCTCTTTATAAAAAAGAGAGAGAGAGAGACTTACTCTACTTGTTTTTCAGATAAAAGAAGCGAATTTGTTTACTCTTGCTGGGGACTCATGTTTACAAGTTCCTATGCCATTGTGGTAAAAAGAAATGCTATTTTTAAAAAATAAAAAGCCACACAAGACTTCATATGTAGGGTTCTTCTTCCTGCCTCCCCACTTTCATTTTACATATGGCCGTGAGTATACAAGCCAAGTCAAAGCTCACGAGGTAACTCTCTTTTCTATCTTTCCCGGACTCCTTTCAGAAAAAAGGCCATACCTGAACTTGAAAAGCAATCTCTTCTCAAAGTTCAGTGAAATCCTAGCCTCAAAAGTCCCACCCCAGATTTGCTCCTTTTTGAAAAACCCAACTCCTGGCAGATGTGAACACATAGCCTAGGTTTTCAATGCGCCATTCCTTGCAGTATTCATCTTCCCTGTATCCATGGAACGTTTCTGAAATCAAGCTAGCAAGATGTTGAATAATGTCCTTTTAAAAGAGGGTGTGCCCTAACTGGGTCACTAACTGTGTGACTAATCACGGTTGCCTGTAACCACAGAGACCGTGGCTTCAACCTGACTTGATCATTCGTAAACCACAAAATGACCCAGCCATCTGCAGGGGCTGCTGGCTCTGGGAGCTTGTAGATCTTCCCAGGCCTGCTCCCTCGTCAGCCCAAGTGGAATGGGAGCCGCCCTCCACTTGGAGCCCCTGGGCATTTGCAGCAATCAGAACGGATCTGACCAGCTCCAACCTTTGCTTATTCAAGTCTTTACCCGCTCCAGTCTCAGCAAGCAATTGCAACAGTTGCTCTCTACTCTGAATTCCATTTAGCAATTCTGAGTGCAGAAGAGAAAAAGAAGGGGCCTGGAATAAATTTGTTTCCAAGAAAAAACAAAAAACAGAAACAGAAAAGGAGAAGGTAACAAGAAAGAAAACTTCCTCCAACTTAGTCTGGGGTCCTTGGTTGTGTCTATCATGGATTCATGCATTGCACTAAAACTTAATCAAATCCATACATCTTTCCCCAAGCGGTATAGCAATGTAAGGAATATGGGGACAAGAGCATCTTTGCTAAGCGTCCCTTGACGACGTGTCCTAAGTTAGGAGCACCCAGGCAGGGATCAGCGGCCTCAGGCCAGCAAAGGAAGAGCGTTAACCCCTTCCCTTCCGGCCACCCAAATCATAATTTTTGCAGGCCTGCTGTGCTAAAAAATACCACTTAGGAGGAAGAAGTTTATTTATAAATGAGGGAAACGATTGCTCTTAGTCGCAGGGGAAGATCTGTTCTCACTACCTCTCACCACAAAGCCCCCACCCCAACTGTCTGGAAATAAGGTTATTTTTTCCTAAGAGTCAAGGCAAAGTTAGTGGAAGGTACACCGCGTGCTAAGCAACGTCTCAGCCCCGCCCCCTTACCTGTGTTCCTTTCAGCCACCCCCCCCCCCCGCCCGCCCCAGCAAGCCCTCAAGTAGAAACCCACCCTTTTTTTCTTATCACATTAATTCAATAGGGCAAGTGCTACCGTCTGGGGTTGGGGAAGACGAGGTTTTCACCAAAAGGACGGGCGGGAGCAACAAATGGGAGGGAAACGGGCAACGCTTGTGAAATCCCAAACCGGACTGGTAAGAACAACATCATAAATTATGGATCCCTCGAGCCGCCTCTGGCCTGTCACGGCGTGATCCGTCTCCCTGGACTTGCCCGGCGGCGGGCGACACTGTGGTCCGCGAGCGCGGGTCGCCGGGGCCTGCGTTGCTCCCCCTGCCCGGCCGGGTCCCAGCGTTCCCCCCATCCCACCCCCCGGGGCGGCCTGGTCTGGGACCCCGGGGACAGCTCGGAGCTCCGCGCTGCGGGACGCGCCAGCTGCGGGGACCGGGACCCACCCCCCCCTTCCCCTGGCAGGCCGAGCACAGGCTCGCCATTGTTCCCGTCTCCGCCCCTACTCCCCCCCCCCCCCGCGGGAGCACCCAGTGCCGGGCTCCGCGGTCCGAGCGGGGCCGAGGCAGGGGACACCAGGGGCGCGCGTGGACGGCTCGGGGTGCGCCTTCGCGGGCGGCGTGGCTGGGGGCCCCCCAGAGCAGCGTGCGACATCTGCGCGAGAGCGCGGGGGCGGGAGGGGAGTCGTCACACTCAGGACGCCCGTCTGGACTGGCTTGCCTCCCGTGCCAGACGCGAGGAGGGAGAAGTCAACGTTAAACGCCGCGGCGGGGGCTGCGGCGAGCGCGCAAAGCCTCGGCCCCCGCGCCGCGCCCTGCGCCCAGCTCGGCCCGCAGGCCACTGCAGCCCCACCTTGCCCTTTGTCTTTCCTCCCGAGCAGATGTGCGGTGACCCCCTGGTATTATTCATGCTGTCGAGATTAAAGGAGCCTCCGCCCTGTTTAGAAACTGCAACTCTTGTCCCCCCCACCCCCACCCTCAGCAACCCCACCCATTGTTTTGTTTTTGTTTTGTTTTTTGGCAGCGAGTCAACCGCTCATCATAAGGTGGGCAAACCCCTCGGTTCACATTTAAATATGTTTGTGTGCCAAATTGGCCTGCTGTTCTGCCCTTTTAGCTACTGTAACCGCACCACAGAAACAATGAATTACCAGATTAAAGTCACCGAAAACCGGCTCATCCTGCAGATGTTGTCTGCTGAAGGCTGCCTACTGACGAACGTGTAAGGGTCTGTGTGTGTGTGTGTGTGTGCGCGCGCGCGCGCGCGCGTGTAAAGCCAAAGCCAACAGCCTCATATTTGTTTTTTGGTAATTTGTTTTCAGTATGCCCCCCCCCCCTTATTTAATGATGAAAGGTCAATTATGAGACGCAGAAACAAGCCACCTTCTCTGGCAAGCCCGCACTCCCAGAAATGAATGGGAGAGCTGGGGTTTCTCATGGGGCAGAGACAAGGGAACTCCAAATCAAGCTGAATTGTGTGTGAGTCAGGCCCTGGAGAAACTGTGGGCAGAGGAAATGTGAGTGGTGGTTTCCTGGATTTCTTCTGCAGGAAGAAACCAGCGGTGGGAGGGAGGGCAGTGAAGGGAAGGGGCCAGGGAGGCGGAGCAGGGGACAGAGCGCCCGGAGGGAGGGAGAAGGGCCTCCTGGCGGCGGGGGAAGGGCAGGGTGGATCTGTAGGAGGCTGGGCTGCCTTTGTGTTGTCAGGGTGGGCAGGGGCTGGGCCTGGCGAGGGCCCTGAGTGTGAGAGCCCTGAGTGTGCCCCGCCAGGTAACATGAGGCACCTGTGCGCGAAAATGCAGCGCGCATTAGCAGTATCATTATTTAGCATGGGAGCATTACCAAGATAATTACTGCCAGTTAGAAAAGCAGAGGACAGAGGGAATTGAAACCCCAGACCCCCTGGCTTATCAAACTGCCAGGGTTCGGAGGGCTGCCTCTCACAGAGCTGCGCGGGCGGGAGGTCTGGGAGGGCTGCCCGAGCCAGAGCTGCGGGCTTCTTTCTTTTCCAGGTCTCATCCTGGCTCCAGGGTCAAATTAGGGTCAGAGATAAAATGTCAGAGGTCATCACTAACATTTTCTGATATCCCAAGCAATCCTCTGTGGAATCCAGAACTCATCCTTTTTATCTGGAATTAAATGGGTCCAATAAAGGAGAGCAGGGACTTTGGTCTTCAAATAATAATAATAATAAGCGCAACAGTGAACAATGATTGAGCTCTTTTATGTGTCAGACACCATGGAAACACTTGAATGACTTCTTTCCTTCAATCTTCACAGCCTTAAAAGGAGGTCATGGTTATTTACAGCCATTTGACAGATGAGTAAACTGAGGCTCAGAGAGGGTCCAGGAGAGGGCACAAAGTTACTCAGCATTTTGTGGCTCTCGCCTTCTGCCTATAGGTGCTAAAAGACTGACAGAGGGCAAGGAAAATGGAACACGTACATTCTGGTTACTTGTGGCCAATAGAGACCCTTCCGCAAAGCTTGAGTTTTAGTACATAAATGCTAGTTTCCCAAACATACATACCGCTCTCTACCCATATCATCGTCAGGGTCAGAAGTAAATCTCACAGGAGTAAATGTTATGGTTTCCAGAAAACAAGGTATTTTGTTTCCGGAAAACAAGGTTTTTTTTTTTTTAAGTGCCTTCTTTTATAGGTGGGTAATTTAACTAATGAAAAACATTCATAAATTTGTTCATTAAAAAGTTTGCACTCAACACACGCAGCTAACTATATGGACAATAATAAGGTAAACAGTTGAAGAATCAAAATTGGCTTTACGAGTCTCAGAGAGGCCAATAAACTCACTTCCCAACTGCTGACCTAATTTTTTTTTATGACATTGTAGTGAATGAAATCAATGTGGACATTTAATTTCAAGTATACATGTTGAATTTATACCATCAGATGATGATGCCAAACTGAAGCATTATTGTTATTAATATTGACAATAATTATTAGTAACAGTTGCTAACATGAACTAGGCTATTATTATATGTCAAATATTGCACCAAATGCTAAATGTTCATCAGGTCACTTAATCCTTACAAAGAAAGCCCTGGCTTCCATTCCTTCGTCCCCAGTCTCCTCTCCACACTGTAGCCAGAGAGCTCTTTTTAAAATGTAAACAAGGTTAGGGGCGCCTGGGTGGCTCAGTCAGTTAAGCGTCTGCCTTCAGCTCAGATCACTGGTACAGCGCTGAGTCAAGGCCCCCCCCCCCCCCCCCCCCCCCCGTCTGGGCCCTGGAGCCACAGGTCAGTCAGTGTCCCTGCTCAGCAGGAAGCCTGCTTCTCCCTCTCCCTCTGCCACTACCCCTGCTTGTGCTCTCTCTCTCAATCTTTTTTAAAAAACAAAAATAAGATGTGAATGAGGTTTTTTAAAAAAAGGCTTTTTTAATTTAATAAAGAAAAGGGGCGCCTGGCTGGCTCAGTCAGTAGAGCATGCAACTTTGGATCTCAGGATCGTGAGTTCAGGCCCCACGTTGGGCATGGAGCCTACTTAAAAAAAATAAATAGTAAATGTAAACAAGGTCAAGTCCTGGCCTTGGTTAAAGTCTTCCAGTGGCTTCCCAAGTGCTCAGGAAAACTCCACCTGCTTTCCTTTGGCCGACAAGCCAACGCCTGGACCTGCCTACTGTCTATTTACTCCAGTAACCCACATCACTGTCTTCCATCCATCAGTCAGGCCTGTCCAGTCAAGATCAAAGACATTCTCACCTTAGGGCCTTTGCACATGTTTCTCCCTCTGCCTGGAATATCCAGCCTTTGCCTGGCTAATATTTTTTTCACAATGTCTCCATATCATGGAGACCTTCCTTCAAACAAATCAAACCACCCTAGCACTCTATTTTCCTGCATAGCACTTAAAATCATGGAAAATTACTTCTTTTTCTGTTTGCTTACTTGTTCATTTCCTTCCCTGAGCCGTAAGAGCCAGCAGGACAGGGACACACATTCGGCATTGCTCTCCAATGTGTCCTTGATGTCTAGCGCTCCTGACACACACAGTATTTGTTAATAAATAGAAGAGCACTCAGAGAGGTAGACACTGTTCTTATTCTCACTTTATAAATGAAGAAACTGAGGTGCCAGGGTGTTAACTTCCCAAAAGGATCTGGAATGGGGCAATAACTATTTCAGATCACTAGCTTTGACTGAATCCAAGGGCAAACTGACAAACACACATGATCGTGAAGAAAGGTTAAAATCAAATGGAATTCTATAGAAAATGAACTTATCTTGGGGCACCTGGGTGGTGCAGTCGGTTAAGTGACCAACTGTTGGTTTCTGCTCAGGTTGTGATCTCAGGGTCGTGGGATCGGGCCCCATAGTCAGCGCGGAGTCTGCTTGAGACTCTCTCTCCCTCTCCCTTGCCCCCCCCCACTTTGCACATGCTTTCTCTCTCTCAAATCAATCAATCAATCTTTTTTTTTTTTTAGCAAATGAACTTATCTTGTGAACAATTTAAATTTACAGAAGGGTAATGTTTCCAAATACACCAGAGATTAATATATCATCTTGCACATTTATTCTAGCCACACGGGTTAAACATTAAAGTGTTTGGTGACTTCAGAATATTTCTGATTTTTTTTAAAGTTTCCAAAGTATTTGAGCATTTTAAACTATGTTTCTTCAAAGAGTACAAATGCTGATGGGCATTCCATCCAGGCATTTCTGCTCTTACCTAAGGATATCAGCAGAATGTGGTTTTATTGCACAATTATAGGAGTCAAATGTAGCCACAAACCCCGTGACCTCTTCTTCTAGGACTTCTAAATAACTCATAAGCAGCCCTCCCCCAAGGGAAGGGTGAAATACAAATAAGTGAAGAGGCCCCGTTTTCAACCTTAAATTGCTGGAGTCCCTTCCAAATCAAGGATTCACTGTTTCCAGACAGTAAGCAGACAGCTTTTTCGTAACAAGAAAAACGTCATCGGTCTTATCTTTGTGTTGCTTTCACAGCTTAGATAAACCCGATGTCCTACCGAGGAAATGCAACAGGGTTTCCAGTAAAGGCTCTGTGTATGGTGCGGATGGAGTAGCTTCCCTTCAGAGAATTGAAGTTTTCTGTTTCCTTCCGGTGGGAACCATAGATGCTGTGTAAGAAAATACAGGAATTCGATTCACACATAACAAAACACAACAACCCCAGGGGGAGGGGGAGATTTTCCTGAAATATATGAGTTTCCCTGGTTTCACATGACACTGTGTATGGTCTATAATTCATGACCACAGGGGGCTGAAAATTGTCATTTCCTGGCCCCTCCAATGGTGGTTTTCCAGTGAGGAGAACATTCTGACTAACCAATGCTACTTTTTTTAATCTTGAGTCTTCATGCTGGTGGAAGAAAGCCTACTTCTACTTACCAGGGGAGGGGACGAGAAGGTGGGCTGCAGAGAAACGACGTAGCCTCAGTCTTGTAATCAATCATCCCTGCCTGTTGTGAGGGTTTTAACAATAAAACCTACCCACACTGACCGGCATTGATACGCATCCTCACCATGTCACTTAGAGCATAAATGAGACATCTACCTACCTATCCGATGGCTTTTTGAATATAAATATGCAGACCCAATTGAGATTTTGAGAACTTTGTAACATCCAAACTTGATTGTGAAAACAGAGGCAAAAAAGATTTTATGCGCTTTTGATGTTTTTTAGTACACAATTGTATTTCCACTGGTTCACTTAGTCTTTCATAAGTTGAAGTGGGGGGGGGAAGCGGGGTGTGGGGGGTAGAGTTTTTGAATCTTGACTTCTTTGTAACTTTTATTTGCTGTTCTACTTAAATGAGGTTGAAGTTCAACAGAGTAAGAAAAGTGAACCTTCAGTTTGCCCCGGTTTCAGGTACATCCGTCATTTCTTCTCTTGTGTGTGGTTGTTGTAAAAATGATCTCTACGCAGAGGCATCAGGTCCCCTTCAGGAAGGCACAACTTAGCGGACCGATGAGATCAGCTGTCTGTAGAAATAGTAACTCTAAGGGACAGTCAGTTAATGCACAGCTTACAGAAATTTAAGAACCCCAATCCCACAGTGGTAAACGTACATTCTCAGGTCACCAAATGGGAATTTGGGTGGACCATAGTGAGTGAATGAAGTGAACCAATCTCAAGGAGGTCTTACAGAGCTGAAATGATCAGTTTGGGAACTTCTAAGAAGGGAGTTGATCCAGAAATCGCACTTTCTCCCCAGTGTTGTTGGGGGTAAGGGGAGGAGAATGGAACCGCC